CTTCCAGCTGTCTCTTCCTGCTCAGGGCAGTCTCTTCCAGTGCTCAGGGCAGTCTCTTCCAGTGCTCAGGGCAGTCTCTTCCAGTGCTCAGGGCAGTCTCTTCCAGTGCTCAGGGCAGTCTCTTCCAGTGCTCAGGGCAGTCTCTTCCAGTGCTCAGGGCAGTCTCTTCCAGTGCTCAGGGCAGTCTCTTCCAGTGCTCAGGGCAGTCTCTTCCAGTGCTCAGGGCAGTCTCTTCCAGTGCTCAGGCAGTCTCTTCCAGTGCTAAGGGCTCTTCCAGTGCTCAGGGCAGTCTCTTCCAGTGCTCAGGGCAGTCTCTTCCAGTGCTCAGGGCAGTCTCTTCCAGTGCTCAGGGCAGCAGTGCTCAGGGCAGTCTCTTCCAGTGCTCAGGGCAGTCTCTTCCAGTGCTCAGGGCAGTCTCTTCCAGTGCTCAGGGCAGTCTCTTCCAGTGCTCAGGGCAGTCTCTTCCAGTGCTCAGGGCAGTCTCTTCCAGTGCTCAGGGCAGTCTCTCCAGTGCTCAGCATTACAACCTCCTCACACGGCTTGTGTGCAGGTTGCAATAAATGTAAATAATTTTTGTGTTAACATAAGTTTGCAAAAATATATTTTTTTATTATTATTATTTCTCTTGTGTGCTAGCTAAGTGTGCTCAATGAGGGGGTTTGGGTATTTTTCATGTTATTTGTTCATTTTCATATTAGAGTAAATAGTCATAAATTTTCTTTGGAGTATTCCTTCACTCTGTGTAATTTTCACACTGCAAAGGCAAATGCAGCATTTTTGTTTGGTTAATGCAATAATAATGCAATAATATTCAACGTCTTGTTGAATATGACTGAAAGAGTAAGAATAGTTGTAGCGCCTACACAGTACAGAGGTACCACGTTCTCTTCGCTACCCCTCTCTGGTTCACTCCTGGTATTGCAACTACTCAAGGGAGCCCGGAATGCATCACATGCCCCGGACGCTACTCCACACCTGCCCATCACAGGACTCCACACCTGCCCATCACGGGAACACTCCTGCTCAACCTGTTGGCCGCACTCCAGCTTTAAGGCCAGTAGCCATTTGAGGGTCGAAGAAAAAGACTCAAAGGTTCTGCACGGAGATGCTGCCCCCAAGCTGAGCGTTTCCTCGTAGTAGTACTTGCTGTTGTAGGAGGAACCCAGTTACAGCTTGCCCAACTTCGCCAACTTCACCCAGTGTTTACAATGAGGTTTACACAACCTCTGGATGTTATGGTTTACACAAGGAGGCGCAGTTATTGATAACTGAGCTAATAATGATTCTAACACGAATCTTTTCAAGTTTTTTTCTTCACTGTCGGGAAAAGTTGAAAGATTAACTCTTCGTAATTCTTTTTCTCACTTATGTTTTTGGTCTGGCGCCTAGGGATGCGTTTCACATGGTCACTCCTTACATTCTCAAAGACTATCAGACTCTTTTGCACCAACTTCTTTTCCACGGCTTACAAAGTGGATGAAAGAGCCCTGAAAGATATTATTGATATGAACGTTAAATGATATGAACATCAGTCAGAAGATACAATTATAAATATATTACAAAAACAAGAAGACCGCCAATCTATGTCCAACCAGCAAGTTTGGTGATGGACTTAAGACCTACCAACCTCTGGAGGGTTGATAAGGCCACCACAACACCTTACTGACCAACCAGCAAGTTTGGTGTTGGACTTAAGACCTACCAACCTCTGGAGGGTTATTAAGGCCACCACAACACCTTACTGACCAACCAGCAAGTTTGGTGTTGGACTTAAGACCTACCAACCTCTGGAGGGTTATTAAGGCCACCACAACACCTTACTGACCAACCAGCAAGTTTGGTGTTGGACTTAAGACCTACCAACCTCTGGAGGGTTATTAAATCCACCACAACAGCTTACTGATCAACCAGCAAGTTTGGTGTTGGACTTAAGACCTATCAACCTCTGGAGGGCTATTAAGACCACCACAACACCTTACTGACCAACCAGCAAACATAGTTTACTCCTCTACACAGCCGAGTAAACCATATATAAGCAAACTGGGAAGCAATACTCACCTACACAAACTGTGTTGAATCTGAGCATCAATAATATAATTACCTTTTACATACACCTGTGATATACCCCTCTTCAGTACACACTTGGTATACACCCCTGGTCAGTACACACCTGTGGTACTCCCCTGGTCAGTACACATCTGTGATACACCCCACGTCAGTACACACCTGTGATACTCCCCTGGTCAGTACACACCTGTGAGAAGACCCCTCGTCAGTACACACCTGTGATACTCCCCTGGTCAGTACACACCTGTGATACACCCCACGTCAGTACACACCTGTGATACTCCCCTGGTCAGTACACACCTGTGATACTCCCCTGGTCAGTACACACCTGTGATACTCCCCTGGTCAGTACACACCTGTGATACTCCCCTGGTCAGTACACACCTGTGATACACCCCTTCGTCAGTACACACCTGTGAGAAGACCCCTCGTCAGTACATACCTGTGATACACTCCACGTCAGTACACACCTGTGATACACCCCACGTCAGTACACACCTGTGATACACCCCACGTCAGTACACACCTGTGATACACCCCACGTCAGTACACACCTGTGATACACCCCACGTCAGTACACACCTGTGGGAAGACCCCTCGTCAGTACACACCTGTGATACACTCCACGTCAGTACACACCTGTGATACACCCCACGTCAGTACACACCTGTGGGAAGACCCCTCGTCAGTACACACCTGTGATACACTCCACGTCAGTACACACCTGTGATACACCCCACGTCAGTACACACCTGTGGGAAGACCCCTCGTCAGTACACACCTGTGATACACTCCACGTCAGTACACACCTGTGATACACCCCACGTCAGTACACACCTGTGATACACCCCACGTCAGTACACACCTGTGGGAAGACCCCTCGTCAGTACACACCTGTAAGTACACCCCACGTCAGTACACACCAGTGATAAACCCCTCGTCAGTACACACCTGTGAGTACACCCCCTCGTCAGTACACACCTGTGAGTACACCCCCTCGTCAGTACACACCTGTGAGTACACCCCCTCGTCAGTACACACCTGTGAGTACACCCCCTCGTCAGTACACACCTGTGATACACCCCACGTCAGTACACACCTGTGGGAAGACCCCTCGTCAGTACACACCTGTGATACACCCCACGTCAGTACACACCTGTGATACTCCCCTCGTCAGTACACACCTGTGATACACCCCACGTCAGTACACACCTGTGATACTCCCCTCGTCAGTACACACCTGTGATACACCCCACGTCAGTACACACCTGTGATACTCCCCTCGTCAGTACACACCTGTGATACACCCCACGTCAGTACACACCTGTGATACTCCCCTCGTCAGTACACACCTGTGATACTCCCCTCGTCAGTACACACCTGTCATACTCCTCTCTTCAGTACACACCTGTGATACTCCCCTCGTCAGTACACACCTGTCATACACCCCTCGTCAGCAGTGAGATCAAAACATTGCACCTCATCAAATAACTGCCAAACCGCAGCAGCCTTAAACGTTGACCGAACCTCACTCAAGATATTGAAGAGACAACGACGTTTCGCCAGACTGACTTGAGAATGGTCCAGGACGGACCGAAACGTCGTCGCCTCCTTAAATTCTTATGTATATTTTTGGTCAACATATCTCAGCCTCGTTATTGTGACTCTTCATCCAACCGGTTCTATTATATACAACGTCGCTTTTGGCTGGTATGCGCGCTATAGCCAAAAGTGGACGTAATTTGAAATGACATCGGCTTACGACAGTGACGTCTGTCCCGTTTTCTGTTTGAGTCGTCCGGCTTACTCGGAATGGTTAGGAGAGGAAACATTGAATTAACGTTTTTCATAACGTTTTGAAACTTTATGAGAACTTCCTGCCCACCTAACCTATCAGAGGACCCTTAACTAACTGTTGTTGAAAAAAAAATCTCAAATTTATTTTCATTTTTTTCATTTTCATATTACGTCCACTTTCGGCCATACGGGCAAACGGCCAAAAGCGACGTTATTTTTAAGATGACAGGTTGAAATCTGCTCACGCAGCAGCGTTACTTTCAACGTGAAGAAATGTGAACACAGATGAAACAACAAAATTGTGAAAGTTAAGCAAAACCAGTTGGCGAGCGCGTACGACAGAGTTGAGAAGCAACTACTGCTTAACAAACAGTTAAAAAGGTTAGCAAGGGTGATAGGAGTTTACACACACTATGTAAACCACATCTTCATAGCTGGAGGGAGGGCGGACTTTACGGCTCAAGCTGATGTTGCAAGTTTACCCTTTTTTGGTCCTTGCAAGAGGGCGATGCAACTTTATTATGAGGCGAGAGAGGTAAGCCAGTTCAACTATGCAACCCTTGGGTGGGATATGAGGATAAGGAACGCCTCATATCCCAGCTCCTTGTCCTCATATTAGACTAGGAGCTGGGATATGAGGACGAGGAGCTGGGATATGAGGACGAGGAGCTGGGATATGAGGACAAGGAGCCGGGATATAAGGACAAGGAGCTGGGATATGAGGACAAGGAGCAGGGATATGAGGACAAAGAGCTGGGATATGAGGACAATGACCTGGGATATGAGGATAAAGAGCTTGGATATGATGATATTTTTGCTCTAGGCCATAACTGGGTCGAGGCCAACATTGGGTCGAGGCCAACATTGGGTCGAGGCCAACATTGGGTCGAGGCCAACATTGGGTCGAGGCCAACACTAGGTCGAGGCCAACATTGGGTCGAGGCCAACACTAGGTCGAGGCCAACATTGGGTCGAGGCCAACATTGGGTCGAGGCCAACATTGGGTCGAGGCCAACACTAGGTCGAGGCCAACATTGGGTCGAGGCCAACACTAGGTCGAGGCCAACATTGGGTCGAGGCCAACATTGGGTCGAGGCCAACATTGGGTCGAGGCCAACATTGGGTCGAGGCCAACACTAGGTCGAGGCCAACATTGGGTCGAGGCCAACATTGGGTCGAGGCCAACATTGGGTCGAGGCCAACATTGGGTCGAGGCCAACACTAGGTCGAGGCCAACATTGGGTCGAGGCCAACATTGGGTCGAGGCCAACATTGGGTCGAGGCCAATATTGGGTCGAGGCCAACATTGGGTCGAGGCCAACATTGGGTCGAGGCCAACATTGGGTCGAGGCCAATATTGGGTCGAGGCCAACATTGGGTCGAGGCCAACATTGGGTCGAGGCCAACATTGGGTCGAGGCCAACATTGGGTCGAGGCCAACATTGGGTCGAGGCCAACATTGGGTCGAGGCCAACACTGGGTCGAGGCCAACATTGGGTCGAGGCCAACATTGGGTCGAGGCCAACATTGGGTCTAGGCCAACATTGGGTCATGGGCAACATTGGGTCATATGCACCAATAGGAGCTGCCTCGTATGGACCAATAGGAGCTGCCTCGTATGGACCCATAGGAGCTGCCTCGTATGGACCAATAGGAGCTGCCTCGTATGGACCAATAGGAGCTGCCTCGCATGGACCAATAGGAGCTGCCTCGTATGGACCAATATGAGCTGCCTCGTATGGACCAATAGGAGCTGCCTCGTATGGACCAATAGGAGCTGCCTCGTATGGACGAATAGGAGCTGCCTCGTATGGACCAATAAGAGCTGACTCGTATGGACCAATAGGAGCTGCCTCGTGTGGACCAATAGGAGCTGCCTCGTATGGACCAATAGGAGCTGCCTCGTATGGACCAATAGGAGCTGCCTCGTATGGACCAATAGGAGCTGCCTCGTATGGACCAATAGGAGCTGCCTCGTATGGGCCAATAGGAGCTGCCTCGTATGGACCAATAGGAGCTGCCTCGTATGGACCAATAAGAGCTGCCTCGTATGGACCAATAGGAGCTGCCTCGTATGGACCAATAGAAGCTGCCTCGTATGGACCAATAGGAGCTGCCTCGTATGGACCAATAGGAGCTGCCTCGTATGGACCAATAGGAGCTGCCTCGTATGGACCAATAGGAGCTGCCTCGTATGGACCAATAGGAGCTGCCTCGTATGGACCAATAGGAGCTGCCTCGTATGGACCAATAGGAGCTGCCTCGTATGGACCAATAGGAGCTGCCTCGTATGGACCAATAACAGCTGCCTCGTATGGACCAATAAGAGCTGCCTCGTATGGACCAATAGGAGCTGCCTCGTAAGGACCAATAAGAGCTGCCTCGTATGGACCAATAGGAGCTGCCTCGTATGGACCAATAGGAGCTGCCTCGACCAATAGCTGCCTCGGAGCTGCCTCGTATGGACCAATAACAGCTGCCTCGTATGGACCAATAAGAGCTGCCTCGTATGGACCAATAGGAGCTGCCTCGTAAGGACCAATAAGAGCTGCCTCGTATGGACCAATAAGAGCTGCCTCGTATGGACCAGTAAGAGCTGCCTCGTATGGACCAATAAGAGCTGCCTCGTATGGACCAATAAGAGCTGCCTCGTATGGACCAATAAGAGCTGCCTCGTATGGACCAATAAGAGCTGCCTCGTATGGACCAATAAGAGCTGCCTCGTATGGACCAATAAGAGCTGCCTCATATGGACCAATAAGAGCTGCCTCGTATGGAAAAATAAGAGCTGCCTCGTATGGACCAATAAGAGCTGCCTCTTATAGGCCAATAAGAGCTGCCTTTACTCTCAAAAAATCTAGATTTTTTTCATCAAATAATATAAATATTTATAATGTTTTCCACTGAAGACTATAGCTTTAACGTGAGGTCCGGCCCCTTAAGGCTGCGCTGCTAGGAACTGTCTCCTAGGAGCCAGTGTCTCCTAGGAGCCTGTGTCTCCTAGGAGCCAGTGTCTCCTAGGAGCCAGTGTCTCCTAGGAGCCAGTGTCTCCTAGGAACCTGTGTCTCCTAGGAGCCAGTGTCTTCTAGGAACCTGTATCTCCAAGGAGCCTGTGTTACCTAGGAGCCTGTGTCTTCTAGGAACCTGTATCTCCTAGGAACCTGTATCTCCTAGGAGCCAGTGTCTCCTAGGAGCCTGTGTCTCCCAGGAGCCAGTGTCTCCTAGGAGCCTGTGTCTCCTAGGAGCCAGTGTCTCCTAAAAACCTGTATCTCCTAGGAGCCAGTGTCTCCTAGGAGTCAGTGTCTCCTAGGAACCTGTATCTCCTAGGAACCTGTATCTCCTAGGAGCCTGTATCTCCTAGGAACCTGTATCTCCTAGGAGCCAGTGTCTCCTAGGATCCAGTGTCTCCTAGGAGCCAGTGTCTCCTAGAAACCTGTATCTCCTAGGAACCTGTATCTCCTAGGAGCCTGTGTTACCTAGGAGCCTGTGTCGCCTAGGAACCAGTATCTCCTAGGAACCTGAATCTCCTAGGACCCAGTGTCTCCTAGGAACCTGTATCTCCTAGGAACATGTATCTCCTAGGAACCTGTATCTCCAAGGAGCCTGTGTTACCTAGGAGCCTGTGTCACCTAGGAGCCAGTGTCTCCTAGGAACCTGTGTCTCCGAGGAGTCAGTGTCTCCTAGGAGCCTGTGTCTCCTAGGAGCCAGTGTCTCCTACGAACCTGTATCTCCTAGGAACCTGAATCTCCTAGGACCCAGTGTCTCCTAGGAACCTGTATCTCCTAGGAACATGTATCTCCTAGGAACCTGTATCTCCAAGGAGCCTGTGTTACCTCGGAGCCTGTGTCACCTAGGAGCCAGTGTCTCCTAGGAACCTGTGTCTCCTAGGAGCCTGTGTCTCCTAGGAGCCTGTGTCTCATAGGAACCTGTATCTCCTAGGAACCTGAATCTCCAAGGAGCCTGTGTTACCTAGGAGCCTGTGTCACCTACGAACCTGTATCTCCTAGGAGCCAAGGTCTCCTATGAACCTGTATTTCCTAGGAGCCTGTGTCACCTAGGACCCTGTGTCTCCTAGGAGTCAGTGTCTCATAGGAGCCTGTGTCTCCTAGGAGTCAGTGTCTCCTAGGAGCCAGTGTCTCCTAGGAGCCAGTGTCTCCTAGGACCCAGTGTCTCCTAGGAACCTGTATTTCCTAGGAGCCAGTGTCTCCTAGGAACCTGTATTTCCTAGGAGCCTGTGTCACCTAGGAGCCTGTGTCTCCTAGAAGCCAGTGTCTCCTAGGAGCCAGTTTCCCCTAGGAACTTGTGTTACCTAGGAGTCAGTGTATCCTAGGAGCCTGTGTCTCCTAGGAGTCTGTGTCTCCTAGGAACCTGTGTCTCCTAGGAACCAGTGTCTCCTAGGAGCCTGTGTCTCCTCGGAGCCTGTGTCTCCTAGGAACCTGTGTCTCCTAGGAACCTGTGTCTCCTAGGAACCTGTGCCTCCTAGGAGCCTGTGTCTCCTAGGAACCTGTGTCTCCTAGGAACCTGTGCCTTATAGAATCCTGTGTCTCCTAGAATCCTGTGTCTCCTAGGAGCCTGTGTCTCCTAGGAGCCTGTGTCTCCTAGGAACTTGTGTCTCCCTGGAACCTGTGTCTCCTAGGAACCTGTGTCTCCTAGGAACCTGTATCTCCTAGGAGCCTGTGTCTCCTAGGAACCTCTATCTCCTAGGAGTCAGTGTCTCCTACCAGCAACCTCCACACCTGCTTTACAATGACAACCACCACACCTTCCTTACAATGACAACCACCACACCTGCCTTACAATGACAACCACCACACCTTCCTTACAATGACAACCACCACACCTGCCTTACAATGACCACCACCACACCTGCCTTACAATGGCAACCACCACACCTGCCTTACAATGACAACCACCACACCTGCCCTACAATGACAACCACCACACCTGCCTTACAATGACAACCACCACACCTTCCTTACAATGACAACCACCACACCTGCCTTACAATGACCACCACCACACCTGCCTTACAATGACAACCACCACACCTGCCTTACAATGACCACCACCACACCTGCCCTACACTGACAACCACCACACCTGCCTTACAATGACAACCACCACACCTGCCCTACAATGACAACCACCACACCTGCCTTACAATGACAACCACCACTGTCATTATAGGGCCATTAAGACCCATTAGGGCGGTAATGGCCAGATTAAGTGATTCATTGTCGTCATCCATCTCACACAACCCATGTGTAATATTTATGATCAATTGACTAAGAATTGGGAATAAAGAGACAATCCAACAGGAGCCGTTAAATGGGCTCGAACCTGTGTCTCACATCTATGTCTACTGTGATGTTAGGGCCAACTACTGTCAGAGGAAGAACTACTGGTTGTCAGAGCCCGGGTGCAGGTGGGGGGGGGGGGGATTGTGTGCAACACCAGTTGGGCTTCAGAGGAAGCCTCAGGCTCCT